GGGCAGGGGCTCCCAGTTTACAACTCTGCCTTGTGGTCCCTGGCAGGGGTTCATGGTTTACAGCTGTGCCTAGTGGTCCTGGCAGAAGCTCCTCTGTGCAGAGCTCTGGTGAGTGGAGAGCCTGGATGGCCCAGCACAGGCAGGGAAGTGGCACAGAGAGACCTTTGCTTTCAGCTTGGTGGGATGCGTACCGTCCCTCGGTGCCTCAGCAACCTACAAGATAGATGTTCTTTGTCCTTAAACTTGTGACTGTGGTATCTTTCAGCTTTCAATAAAAGGAGAAAGTGTAATAAAATGAACCCCAAGTACCAGTCACCCCACTTCAACAATTAAGATTACTAATCTTGTTTTACTGGAGTAACTCTAAGAATCTCAGACATCGTGAGATTTCAACTGGAAATGTACCAGTTTGTGTCCAACAAGGGATATTATTTTTATAGCCACTATACTATTTGATCTCACTGAAAAATTACATGACAACTTCTTAATATCAAATATTCTTTGATATCCATATTGCCATTTCCCCAGTTTCCTAAAGAAGACTTTCTAGAGATGCTCAGATGACACTGGGATCCATATTGGACTTCCATTCTCCCCTTTGCTCCCAAGTCTTTGATTGGTCAGAGAAACCAGGACATTTGATAAGGGAATGTTTGCACTCTAGGTTTAGCTAATATTTTCCTCACAGTTCCTTTATGGGAAGATTTTTGATAACGAATCCAGTTTCTCCCAGCCCCAGCAGAGCTGCCCTGATGTGGCATCCCCTGTGACTCATGGCTCACTGTGGGTGCACAGTTTCCTGGGCCTCCATCTCACATTTCTTCAGTAATCCCCAAAGTGACAAACCCAGAATCTGGTCAAAAGTTCAGGCTTTGCATGCTGTGAGCCTCTGGGTCTTTCCAGTCCAATGCGGTTTCCCATACCTTGCCCTACAGCCTGTGATTCTGTCTTAGGCTGGGCAGGGGCTACAGGAACTTGGCACAGCTCCTCTGCCCAGCGTGTTGGCACATCTCAGTCTGTCAGGAGGCCAGGCTGACAGGGGATACGGTATTCCTGCGGGCATCTGCTGTTCAGACTTTGGGACTTTGCAGTAGTGCTCCCCCCACCCCCTGGTGCAGTCCTCATCTGAATCATTGGCATGGGGCTTGTGCAGTGTTGTCATCTGATTTGGAGGCTGCCCTGGCTGCTTGCACAGCACCATATGTGCTGGTTTTCAGTTCTGGGGCCAAAAGTCTGGAGTGGAGGTGCTGGGGGGAGTCTGACTGGCCTCTCTTGTGGCCCCCCCCCCAGGCCTCACCTCCATGTGGGAACTCCCCTTCTTCTAAGGATGTGAGTGGTTGGATCAAGGCCCAACCCAAACACCATCGCCAAGCTCTGTCCCATGTGAAGCCGCCTTCAGGAGTGGGGGCTATAATACCAGCACTCAGCTTTTTAGTTAATTGCATCTGTCTTGTTTTGGCCCCTGGGGTCTTCTCCATGTGGCCTGGAGAGGCCTGTGCACCTCAGAACTGCCCCTCCTACTGAACCACCAGGGGCGCCATCGTCATTGGTGCCTGCCAGGGACCAGGCAAGGCTGGGAAGTGACTACCAGGCCCAGTGGCTGTGGCCCTGGCTCCTGAGGGAGGTCAGGGTACAGGATCAGGGGCAAAGGCAGGAGAAGACCCATGAGGCTCAGGAGCTCAAGTGCTGCTCGAGCAGCAGCACTGGTCTGGTGCCGGCCCTTTTCTCAGCAGACTGGACACCTACACCAGTGTATTCTCCCACTAGGGCCGTGGGTTGGGCTCTGATAGCAGGGCCAGTCTTAGAGAAGGGGTTGGAATCTAATGTAACTTCATTTCATCCAAGGAAAGCACTTCCCTGGGGATTCTGTGTTGTGGCCTGAGGCAGCATGAACTTGGCAGCCGGTTGGGGAGTTTGAGGTAAGCCTCCAGAGAAACCCCGTGTTCAGTGCCATGTCCAGTGTTGAACCCCTGAGTTCAGTCTCCCCTACAGGTCAGTGACATGGCTGTCTCTGGGAAAGATGCTGCTCAGCTCTCTGCTCCTCCTCCTGCCAAGTGGGACAGTAGGGTTATTGGCATCACAGAGTTTGTGTATCCTTGGCTGCCTCTCTTGTTATGTACTAAACACAGATTGTGGCTAGGGAACATGCAGTGCAGCGGGGCTTCTCACACCAGCTCCCAGACTGAAACTTATGGAGGGGTTAGGCAGCCTTGCTGACAAAAGGGAGATGCCCATGCTGGTGCTTTCACCTTTTATGCTCACTATTGATATAAAATTGAACGTGAAAGTAAAAGAGAAGGCTCGGCGCCTGTAGCTCAAGTGGCTAAGGTGCCAGCCACGTACACCAGAGCTGGCGGGTTTGAATCCAGCCCAGGCCTGCTGAACAACAATGACAACTACAACCAAAAAATAGCTGGGCATTGTGGTGGGCACCTATAGTCCCAGCTACTTGGGAGGCTGGAGCAAGAGAATTGCTGACACCCAGGAATTGGAGGTTACTGTGAGCTGTGATGCCACGGCACTCTACCCAGGGTGACAGCTTGAGGCTCTGTCTCAAAAAAAAAAAATAGTTAAAGAGAAACTGGAGGTGTTGTGCTGCCACCACCTGTACTCCTGGTCCCTTGTACTCTGAAAGGGTTGCCCAAGTGCATGACAGATGGAGTGGCTGAGTCACCCATATCATTGCTGTAGCTGGTGGTCGTCAGAGGAGATGACCCACACTGTGTGCAGGGTACTGACTGGCTTACCAGAGCTCATAGAGCTGGGAAAACAGGGTGCGTGGGTACATGGCCGTGGAAGTGCATCAACTTTGTTCTTGTGTAGAAAAGCTTTGTGTTCCAGAGGTGACATTGAAGTAGAGTATCTGCCCTGAAACTTCAGAGGTCCTCTTGAAAGTTGAACTCCTTGGTTTGGCGCCTGTAGCTCAAGCGGCTGAGGTGCCAGCCACATACACCTAAGGTGGCGGGTTCAAATCCCCAGCCCGGGCCCGCCAAACAACAATGATGGCTGCAACCAAAAAATGGCCAGGTGTTGTGGTGGGCGCCCAGCTACTTGGGAGGCTGAGGCAGGAGACTTGCTTGAGCCCAGGAGTTGGAGATTGCTGTGAGCGTGATGCCATGGTGCTTTACCCAGGGGGATAGCTTGAGGCTCTGTCTCAAAAAAAAAAAAAAAGAAAGTTGAACTCCTTTGTTCCTAGGTGAATACTTTCTGGGTGGCCTCCTGGCCTTGGTATCTGCAGATTTGGGGACAGGGTCAGGAAATGGGCTGTGGACTACTCTGCCAGGTCTCAGGAGAACCTACCTGTTGGTCACCCTCAGCACTGCTGCTTTGGGGCCCAGGGCTCAGGGGCCTTGCTGCACCCAGAGTTCCCCAGGTGGTTCCATAGAGCTGCCGTCTCACTTGTTGAGGATGTTGCAGGATGTGGTAGCCAAGGGCTTGAGTGCTGTCAGGCTCAACTTCACCTATTGCCCAGGCAGAGGCCCCATCCAGCCCCTGGTACTCCTTCACCTCCCCACCTCTCCACCCAGTTCGTGGTTCTTACTGTCACCCTATTTAGTGTCTTGAGACTTGGGATGTATTCCCTGTTTCCCTGATAAGTAAACAGTGTGTGTTCCTCAGCTCAGCCTCAGGGGAGTGGGTGTACAGGGACCTACGTGCTGGGCTGCAGCTGTGTTCAGCCCTAACCCTTTTGAGAAGCTCAGTGTCAGTCTGCTTCATGGCTCCACAGCACCGTGGGGCAGAGATGGGAGGGGACCCACATCCTTGACATGGCACGGGGCCCACACTTGGAGCCTAGAAGATACAGGATGCACAGGACTTGTCCTGCTAGGGCAGTGCACGGCACGTGCCGGGTCTGGGTTGGAACCAGCTCCCTGCAGGCTTCTTGCCCATCCCTGCAGCTCCTTATGGGGCCCTGAGTGGGGAAGGCACCTGCACAAAAACCCAAGGTCCACAGCCTGGGGTAGCTGTAGGACAAGGCCAAGTGCTACAGGCCAGGCTGGTAAATGCTGAACCCAATAGTGGCAGAATCATCACAACATGGGCATGAGAAGGACCTGGAGGGGAAGGGGACGGTCAACATTGACAGCAATACCCTCTTCAGCCAGGGCCTGTCCTGCTCGGGGCCTTTTCTGTTAAAACCCCTGCAGAGCTCTTGTCACCCAGCCAGTAGCCTTCACCCTGGGAATGGAGGAGCACCCTGGGCTCCAGTGCCAGCCAGGGCCATGTTGCAGAAGGGCCCTGCAGAGTCTCCTGGCTTAGGGCAGGCCAGGGTGATATGCGGCCGTGACGCTTTACCCCTCTCCAGGTTCCAGGTATGTAGGTGTGTAGGTTCTAGCTGGAGAGGAAGAAGGGGTACCAAGGCTTGGTTTTGCCTCTTTACATCTGTCTCCTGGCTCCAGGATATATGGCCACTTGAGCCAGGCTGAACAGCCCAGAGGTTCAGGGAAAGAGAGTCTGAAGATTCTTGAGAGAGGGTCTGAGGGACCCCAAGAGAGAGTCCAGGGACCCTGAGAGCCTGAGGCATTTAGAGAGCCCCTCCTTTGTGTAGGCTGATGGGGTTGGGGCTTTCTGTGCCTTCCTTCCCGTTCCCTTTCCTCTCACCCCGAGGCACACAGCCCTGGAATCAAAGGGCCCACAACACCCTGGAGAGCCTCTCCTGGCTCATCCGGCCATGTACATCAGGAGACCACGCTGGGTATGCAGCTATCTAAGGCCCGGGTGTCCTCTCCAGATGCCCCAGCCGTGTGAGGAGTTTCTGGGCTCTCTGTGTGGGCTCAGCCGAGCCCCCAAAGGGGTGCTTTGTGTGGGGCTGGGCTGTGTGCATGATGCCCCTGCCTGGGGGGGTGCTGACCAGTGGTCAGGGCTGGGCAGCGATGCTGAGCTGCCTCACCACTTCTGGGCCCTGGGATCACAGTGGACACCTTGCACATGTGACTATGCCCAGGGCTGTGTTCTTCCTTAACACCCACCCCCCACCAGCTGATTGGAGGACTTTTCCTTTTCCATCTGGTCACCAACTTGATTGCTGCTACCATTGATCCAGCCGAGGCTACCGTACGGTACAAGAAGAACTACCTTGACCTACTTCCAACTTTTGACCGATCGAAGCATGAGCATGTAATTCAGAATGAGTATTGTCACCTCTGCAAAGTCATTGTGTGAGTGCTCCCATGCTGAGCTCTGGGTGTGGGGGTTACCTCCAGGGTGGAGGGTGCAAAGACTGCAGCCTCTCAGGGACGGCCCGCCATGCTGTGGGAACTGCTGTGGGAAGCCCTCAGGTCTGCCCTGGGAGGTGGGTGCTAGTGCCGTGCCCATCAGAGGCAAGACCAGGCTCCAGGGCTCTGTGTTCCCACACAGGTGGCCTGGGCTGCCCGTGTGGTATGCAAAGCCTGGGCCCTCAGACACCCTCTGTTCTCAGTCCCTGACCTATGGTTCAGGGGCCAGAGAAGGCTATTATTAGTTTCCAAGATGAGCCTCCTGCCTCCCATCCTCGGGAAGAGGGAAAGTGGTGGCTGCTCAGGGTCTGCGGGGCCGCAGGGCTGTGTGAGGCACAGGGTGAGGTCTAAGCTACCTTGTGGGGCAGACGTGGCCTCTAGGGCCTCACCCCATGCATAGCTGATCACAGGAAGGCTCAGGGTCCCCCTTCAGGGTACTCTGCAGCTCCCCTGTAGGCCTTGCTGCCCTTCCCCTGGCCTTGGGCTCCTATTCCCTGCCAGATACCTACTTCCCATGTCACATGTCCTGGTCCCCTGTAGCACTCCAGTCCTGAGCCTGTGGCTTTTTTTTTT